AACAGATAAATATTCCCATTTATTTCTCTTCTTGTTTTGCCAGCTGTTGATTCATTTCACTGCTCATCCATAACTCTACCATATAACTTGCTCAGTACCTGCTTCATGCTGTCATCCCTTTTTTGCCATCAAGCTTTCTGCCAGATTTTGTTGTTTCCTTCACTAAGCCTTTGAAATGTAACTTTTTCATTAAACTTTTTTAGTTGGGCAGGTGGGTAGGAGCCAAATGTTACTCCCACTTTTCGTTCTTGCTCTGGCCTAATAAAGACATTTTAAATTGCTTTCTTATCTCCAGATTCAAATGTAACTCGATCCTGTTACATAGGTGTTGTATCCCTTAACTTTTTTACTCGGTTAATGTCAGGGCAGGTTTTTTTGAATCTCCTTTGTCTCCATCACTGGTGTCTTTTAGATAGTGAACATTTTGAGAACAGGTACTAGAAACCCTGTTCTTCCCATTCCTTCCTGCTTGTTGTTGAAGGGACAGAACGGAAATGAAAAAAGGGGGAAATTCCTGTCTAAAAAGTTATGTGCTGATTCATAAATCTTAAATTATACATGACATTGATTGCGCTGAGATGTTGTTTGTATGTATTTCAAGCCCTCTTGAAAGAACGAGACAGCCCTCACAACTGAGGTGTTACTTTTATGTAAAGTGAATGAAATTCAGGGAAGCCAGGAAGGGATGGAAAGAAGACTACCTTATTGGGTTATCTTAGCGAACCTAATTTTCAAGCACTGTGAGCTTATATTTCTATTTTAAAATAAAGCTTCTTATTACACTCTAAAATATATTTATGGGCATTACTAAAGAATATGAGCATTCTAAATCTACATATACAACTTTGTAAACTATTTACATTGATACTTTCATAAATACTCAAATTTCGTAATTAATATTACATAAACACTGGTGGAGGACTCTAACAACATCCCATTTTGGAATATGGACGTATTTGATGAGAAGCACTACATCTTTTTGGTGAATATACTGTATTGTGTGGTAAATTATTTTAGGGCAGGAAGTATAGTTGGTTTTTTGGTTTTTGGTTTTTTTGTTTTTTCCCTTCCCACATCTTCTTGTGTAGCCTTCAAACTATCTTTTATGCCCTTGGCATAAAGAAAGTTTCTTGTGTTGTTCCTTTTGTTTGGTTCCTTCAATTATTTATTGTTCTCACTTATCACTCATTCATTTCTTGGAAAAAATCATTTTTCCATTTTTCTGGTAGTTAATTCACAGTACAAATTGGGTAAATAAGGAAGATATCAAATGAGTACTTGCAGTATTTTTCTGGAGTTTAGGAAAGAGGGTCATGAGTAGAGATTTGGAGTTACTGCACAGAGATTATATTTGAAGGTTCAGGTACCTATGACATCGCCGGAATGTCCTGGCTACCATACAGCCATCTCCCCACATATTTCCATAATTCTCTCTTCATTCAGTTGCATAGGCATCTGTGGTCCAACCAAGTCAAGAATATCCTGCTTTCCAGAGTAATATTTTTACTTGGGTGTACCCATGCCTGCTACCTCATCCTCATGCACTCAGTGCTGCATGCATCCCAATACTAACACCCTTTACAGCCCCCTCAAAGTTTGAAGGATCCTAAGAGAAGCCAACCAAGGATGCCAGTCTGGAATCACTAGCTTTACAGGGGACCCCGCCGGTGATATAGAAGAGTGAGCAAAAAGAGAAAGGCAAGAGAAAATGAAGAACATGGTTGTCATGGAAATCTGGAGAAGAGTGTCTTAGGAAGGAGGGAGGGGTCAAGAGTGTAAACGTCTCAAGGAGCCAGAATGGTAAGGGCTGTTCTTGCACCTGTAGCTTCCCTTGAAGGGAGGGATTGTTTCCTCAAATGCCCCTAGCACCCAAGTGTGTGGTCAGTGCTCAGGAAGAAATTGAGAAATGCTGGGAATGATTTAGAAGAGAGGAGGAAGCACTTCTGGAAGATTGACATTCTCGGGAAAGGACGGTGGGTTGCATTGTGATAGGCCTTGAGTGATGAAAAGACTTTCAACCGGTGGGATTTGCATGTGTCTTCTCATTTTCTGATAGAACTTGCAGGAAGTCACTGAACTAAACAGTGGGTTGGTATTCTTGCTAAATGGGCCTAACATAGATGCAAGTAGTAGTACCTAGAGGTGGAAAACTAAATGTGTACCAAGGAAATTTCTGTATCGCTTACTCTTTCAACAGATGGAGGTGATGTGCTCTAAATTAATATTGTTCTCCTATTTAAATCTATTGCTTTTTACTGTATTTAATGATGTTTAAGCAGGTTTGCTGATAATTAAGGGAATTGCTAATAATTGTCAGCATATGTTTGCTTTTCTCTCGACCCCAGGAATAAGTTTTAGGTGTTACTGATCTGTCATAATATTACACACATGGTTGACATCTTTATTTTTGACTAGTTTAACAAATGCAAAACATACATATATTTCTACATACACTAGCATCTGTCCAAAGTTCATACTGCACTGAAAGGGTGCTAGGCTATAAACAAGGATGGGGAGAAAGAGAGGGAGGTGGGTCAGGGAGGGAATGAGAATAGTAAAGATTAGGTCCTGTGACAGGAAAAAAAAAAAAACAACCTGTTATTTAACTTAGTGTCTGTCTTCAACCCCTCAGTTTTTACAGGTCATTAAACTGTGGGCACGCTCTCTCCCTATGTGCCCATCTATGTTTTGAAATTAAAAGAAAACATTGCATTGTTTTATAAGATGTAGCAGGAGTCTTGGCATTTCTTTCAAACTGCAAAAAAAAATTTATGAAATATAAGATTTATAAAAATTCATTAAAAAATCTAGGAAGGCTTTGATTTGAGATGGTTCTGAAGAGGAGGTCTGTAGTAGAGACAGCCAAGCCTGGGCATTTCCAAGTCAGTTCTATTTATTGTGTTTTAGTGCTGGCTTTCAGTTTCCTCCCACAATGGATACAACTTCACATATCCTAAAAAAGACAGTTCTCCCACAAACTATTTTCTAAGGGAAATGAAACGCGACAAGAATGTCTTTATCCCAGTGGCATTAGTGTGTTGGCCTTTTGGAGACTGAAACCTCTGGGAATAGATTTATTTGGATTTCTGTGAGCTTGTAAGAAATGTTGAAAACATCTGATTTTTATAAGAATCTACTTGGAATTGTTCTTTTTGCTAGGGTATTCTTTGTTTGAAAGATATTTCATTGAAATCAACACCCCACCTCCCACCCCCTACCCCAGTTACAAAACAGCTCATAAATTCTAGCTTTGGTTGTCTAAAGATTTTTTTCTTTGGAGATGGGCTGGAGGTTACTTTGCATTTTGGCTCAGTTGGCTGGTTTTCCTCCCGTTTTCTGTGGAGCACTTCTCGAACCTCAGCTGCAGCCACATGTGCTGCCCCTCTGCCTCTGGAAGCAACAGTTAGCACGTTCTTCCACTTGAAGGCTTGCAGTTCAAGAGGAGCACGCGACGTTTTGAATTGTAAAGGAAATCAGAGCAATCTGAGGGCAGAAGTATCTAGAGAGCTCAAAAGCCAGGTTTAATTAGGTAGCGGTGCAAAGCCTCTATCCCCTTCACAAAAGCGGGGGGAGGGGAAGAGGAGCCAGAGTGAAAACAATTGGCGTTTCTGGGCCCGGCTGCCCGGCCCGGCCCCTGAGCCCAGCTGGAGCTCAGCCGGCCCTGCATTCTGCAGGCAGCCCGCAGTTTCTGAAACTCCCCTAAATGTTCCAGCCTTTAAATAGCAGCGAGCCTTCTAAAATGATGCTGCGTTACTGCAAGAGAAATTAAAGCGGCTGCCTCGGAGGCAGGAGGCCGACTAGCGAGCTGCTTAATTATCGTGGAAGTAAGTGCTTGTTACCGCCGAGCGGAGTGCAGCGAGCGCGGGTCGTCCTCGGGGTGTCAGCCGTGATTTGTAGACAATGCAGCCCTGTCAGCGCAGTGCTGGTTCAGCAGCATCCTTCCAAACATGGATTTGGCAAGAATTTAAAGGCCACCTCTTGTGTAATTTGTGGAGCCTGGAAAAGGGTCCTCTGCCTTTATTTTCAGGATGTGCGCAACCATGCGGGGTTTTGTACTCAGAATGTGTGCCTCTTGCCTCCTGACTGACGGGCTCGCAAGGAAGTTGGTGCTCTTCACCCGTCACCTGCAAGGATGCTAACAGTCCTCTGTCGTCTGTTGGGGAAAATATGGAGAGGTCTGTCCAGAGCAGCGTTTTGTTTCTGCTGTCTTCATAAATCAGCACCGGAGGGTGGGGGAGGATGCAATGCGTAAGGAAATGCAGGCGTTTTGTTAATTAGCGGAATATTTCTAGCTTCAAAAGTAGACTAAAGAGAGCTGGGGAAGAGGTGGTGGTGAATGCGGGATTCATCCTGAGATATTCCTCGTGGGGGTAAGTAATAAAGTGAGGGCAATACAGAGGAGTGCTAATGGATGTAATGGCTCCGGGAAAACCCTGTTTATTTTCTCTCTATTGTATTTGCTCTTGCCAACTCTGTTAAGCGTTTGTAAAGAAACCGAAAAAGCAAGCAGGGTTTTGAAAGATGAAAGATATTAAAAAGTGAGTGTTGCAATGTACTGGATGACATGATTCTTAGTCTTGTTTAAAAACTGACTATACGTTGCTCTAATTAGTGAACTCTGCTGGTCATGTTTCGAACTTCTGGTCGGCACAGTGGTTCGTGATGTTCTACATTATTGGAGGTCACTGGAGCCTGTACTTGGTCCGCACTTGGGGTAGGAGCCTTGATGTCTCGGGACAAAATCCCCACCCCCTCCTATTACATGAAATTAGTTCAGTGAAGCTAACGTATTAAGTCTTTCAAAATATGTATCATTTGATTTTATTCAGTGCTTTCACTTTCTTTCAAACCTGCTTTACCAAAAAGATGGGCTGTGAACTATGACCCACAGTCCATTATTGAGTTTTTTATTTTCATGTGTCTGGTTTTAGCAATTGCATATTTATTTTTAGAGGTATTTATCAAATGCTAATTCTAATTGTCCTTCTTCTCTCTTTTAGAGAAAGCATGGGATTGTGGCAGTCACAGAGTCCCAGTAATACAAGTTCCATTCAGTTTTTTCTGAAAGAAAGCTGTCTGTGAAAGCCAAGCAAAGGGAACCATTGTGGATTATAATGTTTTGAAGATCTGGATTTTCAGAGGTTTGGAAATAAGGCGTCATTTCACCTTTTAAATGAAAAAGATTAAGATCTCATGCAACTGCTGTATTTTCTGGAAGCCGTTCTCCAAAAGGGAAGTGCACATTTAAAACTTAGCTATGATGGTCCTTTGTGCAGGGATTTGAGTCTGATTGCTTCTCCATCATGACCAGCCTGAAACGGTCGCAGACAGAGCGGCCCGCTGTCCCCGAAAGGGCCTCGGTTGTCGCCACGGATGGCGCCCCCAAAGTCCACACCGACGACTTCTACATGCGGCGCTTCAGGTCCCAGAATGGCAGCTTAGGGTCCTCAGTCATGGCTCCGGTAGGGCCCCCCCGAAGTGAAGGTTCTCACCATATAACCTCCACCCCCGGAGTCCCCAAGATGGGGGTTAGGGCTAGGATTGCAGATTGGCCCCCACGAAAGGAAAACGTCAAAGAATCTAGCCGTTCAAGCCAGGAAGTAGAAACCTCAAGTTGCCTTGAGAGCCTGTCCTCCAAAAGCAGTCCTGTGAGTCAGGGAAGTTCTGTGAGCCTCAATTCCAGTGACTCAGCCATGCTGAAGAGCATACAGAACACGCTGAGAAACAAGACGAGGCCGGCGGAGGGCATGGACTGCAGGTTTCTGCTGCCCGAAGCCTACCCCAGCTCCCCCAGGAAGGCTCTCCGCCGGGTCCGGCAACGGAGCAATAGTGACATCACCATAAGCGAGCTCGACGTGGATAGCTTCGATGAATGTGCCTCGCCCACCTACAAGACTGGGCCGTCTCTGCACAGGGAATACGGTAGCACCTCCTCAATTGACAAGCAGGGAACGTCTGGGGAAAGCTTCTTCGATCTGCTGAAGGGCTACAAAGACGACAAGTCTGATCGAGGTCCAACTCCGACCAAGCTCAGCGACTTCCTCATCACCGGTGGGGGCAAGGGCTCCGGTTTCTCTCTGGATGTTATCGACGGGCCCATCTCCCAGAGAGACAACCTCAGGCTCTTTAAGGAAAGGGAAAAACCACTCAAGCGCCGCTCCAAGTCCGAAACCGGGGACTCGTCCATTTTTCGGAAATTACGCAATGCCAAAGGTGAGGAACTTGGGAAGTCATCGGATCTGGAAGATAACCGGTCGGAAGACTCTGTCAGGCCCTGGACGTGCCCAAAGTGCTTTGCTCACTACGATGTCCAGAGTATATTATTTGACTTGAATGAGGCGATTATGAACAGGCACAATGTTATCAAGAGGAGAAACACCACCACGGGGGCATCGGCCGCTGCCGTGGCCTCCCTGGTCTCGGGGCCTTTGTCCCACTCGGCCAGTTTTAGCTCCCCGATGGGCAGCACGGAGGACCTGAATTCCAAGGGGAGCCTCGGCATGGACCAGGGAGACGATAAGAGCAATGAGCTGGTACTGAGCTGTCCGTATTTTCGGAATGAGATCGGTGGAGAAGGTGAAAGGAAGATCAGCCTGTCAAAATCAAATTCTGGTTCCTTTAGTGGGTGTGAAAGTGCCTCCTTTGAGTCCACGCTGAGTTCCCATTGCACAAACGCAGGAGTGGCCGTACTTGAGGTGCCCAAGGACAGCCTCGTGCTGCACCTGGACAGGGTGAAGAGGTACATCGTGGAGCACGTGGATCTGGGCGCGTACTATTACAGGAAATTCTTCTATCAGAAGGGTGAGTGGAGATCCTGTAGCATGATGGATAAGATAGTTAAATGTATTTGCTACCATTTATGTCTTTTTGTGTTTTTGAGTTACTTTCTCCTCTCAGGCATAAAAATGTATAATATTAATGGTTTTTTAAATTTAGTGGATGAAATTGGAGTCTTTGTATAAAAGACTTGCTCTCTTACCCTGAGAGATAAATGCCATAAAGTTGAAAATATTTTAAAGATAGCTTTTTTTTTTTTTTAAGGACTACAAAAACAATGCTGCCTTTCTTAGCACTTTTATAGTTAGTACAGAACCATTTCTTTTCTGCCTCAATGTTCTCATTGGTAAATGGGACTTACACATTCCTATCCTTTTGATGGGAATTTTAGTGAACATTGATTACATTATTTGACAAAAGTCGCAGAGCCAGTAAGTCTCAGGCAGGAGTCAAATCTAGGTCTTATAGAATGGGGTAGAAAAGGGGCTGAAGGGATCAGTACCCTTAACATGTTGGTGACTTCCTTTCTAGTGTTTTCTGTTTTGTGTGTGTGGCGGGGGGAAGGATATATATTTTTGGATTGTACTTTATGTATGTTTTATCTCCTTTTAAGAAAGGCCCTGGGATTTACTGAACAATAAGTAGTTTAAACGAAGTCTTCAATCTAATAATGTTTTTGAGCCACGTTATTCATTGAAGAGTGAGCTTAAGTCCCCAAGTGCCCCAGCTGAGAAACAGGCTGCTCCCCAGGGAAGAACCTACGCTGTGGCCCGTTAGCTAGCTCAGGGGTCTCCACAGCCTGACTGAGTGGTCCCCCGGACGCAAAGTGCTAGAGCAATTTGACTTTACACATACTGCTTCGGTGTTTTTGAATCTTACTTAGACTTCTTCCAAATGAAGTTCCACTTCTAGTGTTCCTGGTAGCTGTATTACATTGTTCACATTAGAATAAAACTTATCCTAAGGTCATTACACGATAGACTGTATTCACAAGGGTTTATTGACCGTAAGAATCTTGTCTTGTTGCTAAGTATCCATGTCTTCTAAATGTCTCTCATAAGTACTTGACAACATGATAATGAAAATCCCATTTCCATTTTTAAGCAGTCGATGTTTTCTCAATAATTTTATGGAGTTCTGATTTTAGAAATCACCTTTTCCTTATATACTGTCCTATATACCTTGACAAGGCTTCTCAGTGTTGCCATCTTGGCATTTGGGCCCGGATACTTCTTTCTTGGAGGGGGCTGTCCTGTGTGCACTGTAGGATCAGATTAGCAGCAGCCCTGCCCTCTACACCCTAAATGCCAGTAGGTACCCCTCCCCCAGTTGTGACAACCGGAAATGTCTGCAGGCATTGCCAAATAAATGACTTTTGGGAGGTAAAGTGGCATCTAGCTGAGAACCCCTGCTTTATTGTACCTGGGGACATTATCCACAGGTGTTCCTAAGCTGTCTGTTGGTGGGGGCCATCTTGCTAAAAACAGACACATTAAGAACATATTGGTTATAATTTTACTTATGTAGTAGTGGGCACTTTATCTGTTAGGCAGTATAATAATATTAACGAACAATTTGGAGCACTTATTATGTACCAGGAACTTTTAGTGTTTCCTATGCCCTGCATTTTTCTCCTTTCAACCTCAAAATGCCCTCTGAGGTAGGGTGCCGTCCGTGATGGCATTTCCCAGACAAGAAGACGGGGTCTTACAGGTTTAAGTGGACGTAAGTGGAGCTAGTCTTGTGAGAGCCCAGATTCCACTTCTGCTGTGTCTCACCGGCGCCGTGTTCTTAACCACTGTGCTCTTCTCTCTGCTGTGTTAGACTGAAGGGAAAGAGTATGTTTTTATGTTTAAATCTGGTAGAAATTTGTATGGCATAAAAAATTTGGACATCTATATTCCAGAGGAATCCAGCTTAGATCATAACACTTCATAAATTTAAAAGCCACTAATCCAAAGTCATTTCTAATTTGAAGCGTGGAAAATACCCTCTTATGCAGCATAATTGGAACTGGGTTAATTGAAAATACCAGTTAAAAGTAGGGAATCTTTAAAAGTTATACATGCCCAGTATATTTTATTTTCAGTAAAATATGTAAGAATGTACTTGCCAAACTCTTGTGAGGCCGAGGGTTTTTCTTTACGAGTGATCGTACTATGGGAATTTGCTGTTGTGTGAACAGTATAAGACTGTAAGAGCTACAGCAGCCCCTAGCAGAGCCATCCAGTCTTACAGAATCTTAGGTTTCATTTTATTCTCCTTTTTCATAGTTGTCTTGCCCACATCTCATCTAATAGCTTTCTTTTTAGTGACTTGCTTTTATTAAGTCTTTCTAAAGCCTTCAGCTTAGTTTTTAATAGAAACAAGATTTATCTTTAATACTTGTATTCCATCAGCTTTCATAATATTTAATTAAATTTCATAATTACAATAACAACTCAACTGGCATAAACAGGTTTGGGAAGACACCGCCTGACTCTGTCAGCATGAAGTCCAGCTGGTGGGGACAAAGTGTGTGTGGCCCTGGAGAGGGCCTGCCTGTGTCCTTGGGCATTCGTCATTGTGCTGTACGGAGGGAACTCAGAGCAATAGTTAATCCAGGAAGTTGGTCCAGTGGGAGGCGGTTTCAGAGTGCCTGCTGTGTTTTCTTGGGCCACACAACTTAGAATTTTCAAATCAGGCAGGTCATTTGTCACAGTATGATAATAAACAACAAATTATGGCTCTGAGTAACCTCATTTGAAGCTGAAATGAAGCCCCCTAAAGTATAACTGTATACTTGAAAAGTTAGATATCTGTACTTAGTCACCATATAGGATATGGTTAAACAAAATATTATAATTTTTACTCTACAACTTGGTTCACTGAGATTCATGGGCCAACTCCTTTTTTCCTGATCAGAAACTGAAAGCGAGTCCTCTTGTTGAAGGAGTACGTCGCTGTCAGGTGCATCAGGGTGTAACGCTACTGGCCTGGCTGTCAGTCCAGCCTCTTCATGACCAGATACTTGGCATTCTGCTCTTTAATGCATTCCTGACTTCACTGTGGCTAAGTCTGGGGGTGGGGTTGGGGGGGGGAGCTCCCTTTCTTCAAGTATACTCTGCAGTCAACATTATATGTAAAATTTATATTGGGCTTGTGAAACTGCAGTCCCTCTCTGATATCATACTGTTGTTATGCAGGTCATTATTTTGAGAATTTAGAGTACAGAGGATATCTGACTACACCATGTAAGCCCACTGTTTGCACTTATTAAAATAAGCACCACACCATCAAGGTTCTGCTCTCCACCCCTTTCTCTTGACCGCTCCCCTTTGCTGGTTTGCTAGCGTGCTAGACACTCATACAAGGTTCAAGGACAGGAATAATACAGTTAACATTTATTGTGTCCTTACCTGGTGTTTTATGTGGACTTCCTCACTTAACGCTCTCAGGACCCCGAGGCGAAGCGGTCATCGTGATGAGTGCAAGTGATGCAACCACAGCCTTCCTAGAGAGACCCAAACCAGGCAGAAGGATAGCATTAACATTAATAGGGTCATCTCCCCTTGACTCCATATATGTATTTTGTGTTTAGCTTTTATTTAGATAGTCACTGTGATGGAAGTACCCACAAAGTTTGTAAGTGGAGAAAACTGTTAAAGTTACGATGTTACCTAGAGCCACCATGGCTTGTTTAGGAGGAAACTTTGCTAGCCTTTGCTCACCTCACTTTCTGTGGCTGTACAGGACTTCTCCAATTTTTGCTCTGAGTGTGCAGTTGTCTGTGAGTCCCATTCAGAGTGATATGTTTGTGGAAGAGCGGGGCCCACGGTCTTGGCGGTGGTGTTTGTTGCTCCATTGGTCTAGAGCGTTGATAGGCTGGTCTCTACGCCAGGTGGGGGGTCTCTCTCAAAGTTCCTGGAGATGCTGTGTCAGCGACAGTCCTCTCCCTACTGCCCAGTGGCGGGAAGAAACTGCCATTATGTGCTCTGAAGCTCATCTGAGACTAGTTTCCCACTCCTAATGCTTGTATATCTAATTATTCTTCTGATAATGTTAAACCATCAGATTTGATTCTGTTCAGAGGCACACACGCGTGTACACACACACACACACACACACACACACACACACACCCACCCACACCCCAATTCCAGCAGTGTGCTGGGCCCCAGAACTATCACTTGATAGTTGGATTTCAGTTACTCTTGTAATGTCCAGTTTTCTTGATAAGAGGGTGAGAGGTAAATAATCAGCCATCTTTAGCATCATTTCTTCAGAATATATGCCTTAACTTCATGTGTACTTGGAAGTGACAGTGTTAGCAGTCTGATCTAGTCTCAGTTTTACTATCAAGAGCTGGTCTTGAAGCTCGAGTTTGTTAGATGAGGTCAAGTAGCTGTTGTGAAGTTTTAGTGGATTATACTGTGGTATGTATGGATCATCAGGGAACACCATCCAGCTAAGCTTATTTGGAAAATCTGTGTTTAGTTTGTTTTTTAATCCTCCTATAAGTACTGCAACATTAAACTTGAGAAAGTTGGGTTGTCTTATAGTTCAGAGTTCTTTACGGATAGTTATGCTATTTAGTGTTTTGATGTGGACAGTTTTATTTTTCGGGGAGGTGGTAAGCCAACAAGTCCGCTTCACTGAACCATGCTGTGCTCTGTGTTCCTGAACTTAACAATTAATTTTGGCCAACATTAATAGGGAAGGATTTTATACATGCATAATAATTCATTGTTCTAATACCCTTGTTTTTTATTTTTCACTGAGATCACGTAAACTGTATATGATTGGCTTGAAGGTAGCTCTCTACTTAGGTAGCCCTTTCAGGGAGATTTTGGGCACTAAATACCTTCTTGAGCTAACCAGGAGTGTGATTTGCTACCGTCTTTTTATCTGCTCAGGGCTTCCAGAAGCAAGGAGGCCATTAGGTATGGAGGTTTGCATGTTTACTCCTTTGAAAACAGTCTTCTTCTTTCTCGGCTGTGATCTCCTGAATTTTAAAACTGATGATCTGGACTCTGATCTGTAAG